ACCCTGGCCGGAAGTAGGGCTGGCAGATCCAGTGGAAGAAAGGCAAGCCGCCTGAAGGCTTCTCTCCCTCCTTCTGCCTGGATATATCCTCCTGCAAAAGCCCAGAGGGCCCTCGGTTAGAGGCCCAAGGCCCAAGCCTCTAGCCTCTTTCCCACTACACATCAGCCCAGCACCCACCTGACACCGCAGCTTCAGCTCCTGGCTCACTGCGGCAATGCCCTCCAGGGTCTTCACTTTGGCGAGCTCCTCTCGAAGCTGCTGATGCACCTGCAACCTGATGCAGACGCCCCATCACAGAGCCAACCCGGCACCCAGCTCCCAACCACCAACCCTGAGCCCTGGGCACAGAGGAGCATGGTCTCTCCTCCCACCCAACCTCACCATGTCACCGCGGCCCTCCCAGACTCGGTGGCAGGTGGTTTTGTAAATGTTTGTGGAGAGCTCGTCTTAAAAACCCCAATGCAGGGCTTCCCTGGTGGCACAGTGGTTAAGAATCCTGCCAATGCAGGGGACAAGGGTTCGAGCCCTGGCGTGGGAATATCCCACATGCCGCGGAGCAACTAAGCCCATACGCCACAACTACTGAGCCTGCGCTCTAGAGCTCGCAAGCCACAACTACTGAACCTGCGTGCCACAACTACTGAAGCCCGCGCGTCTAGAGCCTGTGCTCCGCAACGAGAAGCCACCACAATGAGAAGCCTGCGCACCTCAACAAAGCATAGCCCCCGCTCGCCGCAACTAGAGAAAGCCCACACGCAGCAATGAAGACCCACGCAGCCAAAAATAAATAAATAAAATAAAATTTTTTTAAAATTTAGGAAAAAAACACAAACAAACCCCAATGTTCCAGGCAGGCCTCAGACCAGACAGCGTTTGCCCTGGGGGGGCAACTCACGTGTGGTGCCACAGCTTAAAGAGGTGGGCCCGGACGTAGGACAGAGGGCAGGGGTGCTGCCGCACGATGTCCAGGTACTCCTCGGCCAGCTCCCACACAGCAGGACTGCGGCCCTCGAACAGGGCAGGGTTGTGCAGGTTTCCCTCTGCAGAAGGAAGGCAATGCAAGGCTCAGGGGCCCCCGTGCCTCGCCACTCCAAGGGCAAGGCTGGCCACTGGCCTGACAGCTCTGGCCCATCAGGCAGATGGAGACTTCAGTGATGACAGCGTGAAGCCCGAGGCTCTGTAGCTGGGCCAATGGTGCCATGATGCAAACAGGCCCCTCCAGCATCTGCCAGTGGTGGCCCAGCTGTGGGCAAGGGCACAGCCTCACCTGCACTCATGACCCCTTGCACCCCCGTGTCCTGGATGCAGCGTTCCACGTCCCGCAGGCACTGGATGTTCCCATTGGCAAACACAGGGATGGCCACTGCCTTCCTGTCGGGGAACAGGATGGGCAGACACTCAGAAGGATGCTGTTTCCCCCCACAACCCTGGGGGGAGGGCCAGGCCCCCAAACTCCATCTTCCCACTGTGCTGTTCACCCCCAGGCCCAGCACCCCTCCTGGTGCCCAAAGGGCTGAGGGCCTTGCCTTGGGGCTGGGCTGTCTCCCTGCCCTGGGTTCACCCCGTGTCCACTTACCGCACAGCCTTGATGTGCTCCCAGGACGCGGTGCCCGACAAGGGCCCCTTCTGCTCCTTGGTGCGCCCGTGGACAGTCAGCAACTAGGACACAGCAGCACCTGGCTCAGTCCCACTCTCAACTGCGGCCCCCAAACCAACTCCAGGGGACCCTCTGCCTTCAGCTTTTAGGGTATCAACTTCCCACGCAGAGCAGAGGAAAGGCCGCCCTGTGCCTCGCTCACTCAGTGCTGCACTTGAGGCCAGCTGACACCCTGGGGGTGCTGCCTGGGGCTTGCACGTCAGAGCCAGCCTACTACGCCACCCAGGATGTGGAGGTGAGAGGCCCAGACCCTTTCAAGGGCCGGTCCTCTCTGTAGTGGCAGCACCCCCGCTGCCCAAGGCCAAAGGTGTGAGGGAGGAACAGGCACCATCCTGACCCCAGGGCTGGTGGGGGGTGGGTGGGAAGAAGGTGGTTGAGGCCCAGCACCTCCCCCTGCACAATACTGGCCTCCTGGGCCCAAGCATGGGGCTCCCCTCCCCTCATCAGGCCTCACCTAAAGGTCACTGATTCCTGCCCACCCCAGAGGGTAAACCCTCAAGGGGCACTCCTGGAGGCGGGGGAACAGTGCAGGGCCCTGGGAGCCCATAGCCCTCACCTGGCAGCCAGCCTTTTCCAGCATCTGGGCGTACCTTACGGTCTTGTCAATCTCTGGGAAGACACGGATCTTGCATGTGACAGGGACAGAAAGTTTTTCGTGGGCTAGCAGAACTAGGGAAAGGCAGAGTCAGCTCCTGAGAGAACTGTGGTGCCACCTTCAGGCAGGGTGTGGGGACCCACGGCTAAGCCCCCAAAGGAGCAAAGGCCCTGCAGACGCCCCGCGCTGGCTCCCTCTCGATGGCAGCTGAGAGTCGCACCTCTGACCCTAGGGCACTGGAGAGGCCAGGACTGGGTGGGCGAGGATGCCGCCCTCCAGCACCTACTATCTGGTTCGACGGGGGGACAGCAGGAGCGGGACAGGCGACTTCACAGCCACCTTCTACAGTGGAAAGGCGCGGGGGTTGCCACAGCCAAGAGGACTCTGCCAGCCACTGTCCTCTCCTGAACCCTGCCAGGCTGTCTCAGGCTTGCCACCCAACCACAACGTGGCCCCAAGTCCCCGCAGGTAGTGTGTGGCCAACTCACTCATTCTTTGGAGGAGGTCCCACTCCTCCTGCAGGAAGGCGCCATAGTGACCTGCGAAGAACAAGCATGCCCTCTGCAACCCCCTCTCGAGTCCACGTGGGCCTCGAGCTGCCTGGCCAGGTTCTATTAGCCCGGCAGCCTGAGCTCAAGGGTGCTGAATGGAATGCCCACCCCACACGGTCTCTGACCAACCAGCAACTCCTCAGGCCCAGTGAGGGAGAAAGGCTGAAATGCCAGGGCAGCAGCCACTGGTCCCTGAGGCAGCACGAGGGCGTGGTGGGGACTTTTCAGCAAAACACATTTATCCAGAGGGAGCCCAACAACTTCCCAGGACGTGATGAGCCCCTGACAGCCAGCTGAACCCTGTCCCCCGCCCTCAGTGCCTGAGAAGGGCCACTCTCCAGAAGGAGGAGCAAAGAAAGGGCCGGTGACCGCCTGAGCTGCTGCCATCAGAGGCAGGGCCAGGCCCCTGGCCAGCTCAGCCACACACTGGGCACCTCTGGGCTTGGAGTCCACCCCAGCCAAAAGCTTGTGCAATGACACAGACCCCAGGACGGGAACTCACCTCGCTTGGCTATCATCTGTGGGCAGCCCAAGTTCAGGTCGATGGCATCGCAGTAGTCCTGAGCCAGGAGAGCTGCCTGGACGAACACCTCCGGGTCATTGGCACAGAACTGAGAGAGACATGAAAGTTACCATGAGCCCGAGCCAGTCCCACACGGGTTCATAGGCGACCAGTGGGGGTGTTGCCCGAGGGGATGACCACAGGATGGCATCCTATCTGAGATGTTTACAATTTAACCAAGCTGGGATGCGTTCCCATGCCACCACGAGAGCGAGTTACAAATTCACACAACTCTCCCAGTTGTAGCAGAAAGCCAGTATCACTGACTTTGCGAAGAGCAGAGCCATTCTCTCTAACTGTTCTGATAAAGAGGGAGCACTAGGGGTGATGCTGGGGAGGGGGTTGCGAATCTTCCATCACACCCAGGTCGTCCGTTCACCAAAAGCCTGAGGCAGCTCCCAGGAAGAGGTCAATCTCTGGGAGAACTGGCCCACCCCCGCCCCTCCGATCTCAGGAAGCCTTTTCCGGAAAGGCCCAGGGAGAGGTGCTCGGCCAGCATTCTGGGCTGGGCTGCCCACCTGCACAATGAGAGGCCGGTCCTCGGGGCACACGTCGCAGTACAGGTTCTCCTTGCGGTAGTTGGCATCTCGAATGAAGACCTGGGCGTGCAGCATGGGTGTGTAGCACAGCTGGGCCCCGTGGCGGCGGCTCAGCAGCCTCCAGGCCAGCTCGCTTTGGTCCACCATGGGGGCCACCACGTGGCGGGCCCCCCCCAGGGTACAGCTCCAGAACTCGAAGCCCTGCAGCTTTGGCATCGTCTCCACACTGAGGGGTAAGACCAGGGGCTCAGCCGCGGCCAACGGAGCGCAGGTGTAGGAGCCGACCCTCCTCGAGGCCGCTCCAGTGCTGCCCGATGGTCACAAATGTGGACACTAAGGATGTCAGCTGGTGCAGGCCAGGAACTGAAGCCCCAGTGCCGGTTGCCTTCCAGTGGAAACCTTGGTCAGGTCACTCAACCTCTCTGAGCTTTAACCCCTTACTTCTTAGAGGAATTAAGATGTCTGCCTGGCAGGACTGGCGTGAAGAGTAAATGGAACAGTACGTCCTGTCAGTGCCCAGCCCAGAGGAGGCTACCTTAAAAGGCAGCTACGACCCAGAAGACTCGGGGACCCCCACCAAAGCAGGACCATCCAGTGGCGACACTGCTGGAAGCCTGCAAAATGCCTGCCCTCCCTGCCCACCAAGGGGCCCAGGGCAGTCACCTGGACACTCTGTGCTCTCCTCTGGGTGCCAGGTTTATAAAAGCACTAAGAGTACTTTCCCCTCTGTCTTATCTTACCTATGCCCGGCCATCCTTATAGGAGCCACCGTTCCCTACAGAGGCTTAACAGGTGGTAGCCGAGAAACGAATACAATCCGAAACACCGGAGAACGGACTATGAGGGAGGCTTACTTTCAGAGAACACTCACCTCCTGTACCTAGTTTGGGAATTATTAAGCATGGTCATCAGCTTAACAACTGCCTAAGTGCCCAGCTGTGGGTTTGAGAATTTCGGAAATTGTTAAGTTACATGTAAAAATCACCTAGGTCGCCAATGTGTTGCCCAGCGGGGCACCCTCCACCCCCACCCGAAGGAAGAGCCCCGGGAACCCGAGAACCGCGGGTCAAATCCGCAGGGAACCTACTTGGGCGGACCCGGGCCACCTGAGCGCCCGAGCCAGGCTGAGGCTCCTCCCGACGCAGCTACGCCCTTCGGAGCCGGGGGCGGGGCGAGGCGGCCTGGAGCTCCGGGGGTGCGGCCGGGGTCCCGCGGGGTGCGGTTCCTGTGCTCGCGCCGCGTCCTGAGGCCGCCACACCTGGGTTGCCGCCGGACCGCAGCCGAGCTCAGAGCTCCGCGCTGGGTCCGCCGGAAGGTGCTCCGCCAGGGAGGTCCGGGCAACCCGCGGTGCGGCGAGAAATGCGTCCCCGGGAAACCGCGCCCGGCGGCGGAGGGGCGGTACGCGGGGTCGGGGGTCGCAGGGCGGAGGTTGGCTCCGCCCGGCGCGGTGGGGCGGGTTCGCGGGGGGCCGGCCGGGCAGGGAACGCCGAGAGTCACCCCTCGCTCGCGGCGGGTGTCGCCCGGCTTGAGCTCCCGCCTTTCCCCGCAGAGGAGCTCGGAGCTAAAGTCCTAGTCTCGGCCCTAAAGTCCTCGCCTCGGCCCCGCGCGCGGAACCTCGTAAAAACCTTCGAAGGACCGAAATCGCCGTTTTATCGCGGAAGGCAAACACTGCGCGAACTTCCTGGTTCCCATAGTGCGACGCTCGGCTGCCCAGACCCACAGAATTCTTCGTTTTAAACCCAAGACGTGCGAGTCACCTGCTTAGCAAATATGATCACAAACTTACCTCCTGCTTGTTCCCCTAAACACCCTCTTCTCTTTCCTAAAGAAACCGATTGGTCTTCTCTTTCCCCTCCCTCCCTTTCTCCTATTACCCCTACCTCTGATTACTGCGTGCACGTCTTCTGTACCCGCCAGAGGGTGTGAATACACTTTGCTTTCTTCCTGTTCACCTGTGTTTTGTCAATTTAATTTTCAGGACCTCCAAGCACAGTCCCAAAAGGGAAGAGGGAAAATTTTTCCTCTGGCAGAACCAAGTTTCATTGTATCATTTCATCCTTAAGTATTTCAACATACCCAAAGGACAGGAGTTTTTAGAGAAACAACCACAATATCATTAACACACCTGAAAAATAACAATTTCCTAATATCAAATATCCATCCTTGTGTGTCCAATATGGCAGCCAGCTGTCATATCTTGAGTGCTCGAATGTGACTGGTCTGAATTAAGACGTGCTGTAACAGTAAAAAGACACACCAGATTTCAAAGATTTAGTGGGAAACAAAAAAAGTAAAAGAATTCATAATTTAAAGAATATTGATGACATGTTGAAATAATATTTTATATTAAGTTAGGTTAAATACATTATTGAAAATAATTTTATCTTTTTATCTTTCTCAATGTGGCTACTAGAAAATTTATATTTATGTATGTGGGTGGGATTTCTGAAATAGCAGATTGAGGAGCTCACCAAATCTCATCCCCAAAAAGCAGTGATAAAACTGGGCAGAACTGTTAAAAGCAACCATTCCAGGACTCTGGAAGTTGACCAAAGGCATACAATATTTGAAAAGCACTTATTAAAAAAAAAGTACTGGACATCTGTAAGAAGAACAATGGGAGTCTGTGGAGTTTTAGTATTGAACTACTTTTATTTCCTCCCTCCCCACGGTAGTTCCACCAGAGCCAGGTAGGCCTTGAGGACCTCAAGTTCCTACAGACACTGGAGAGAGCTGGCTTGATTGGGGGAGGGGGAAAGCCCCAAAGAGCAATTGCAATCACAGTAGCAAACAACTGGGTAGAGGCCTGTATCTCAGCTGCCTGAGGCCATGATAATGGTTGGAGCAAGCAATAGTCCAGCCAGAAAATTTTTTTTTTTTTTGCGGTACGGGGGCCTCTCACTGTTGTGGCCTCTCCTGTTGCAGAGCACAGGCTCAGGACGCGCAGGCTCAGCGGCCATGGCTCACGGGCCCAGCCGCTCTGCGGCATGTGGGATCTTCCCGGACTGGGGCACGAACCCGTGTCCCCTGCATCGGCAGGTGGACTCTCAACCACTGCGCCACCAGGGAAGCCCAATACTGTGTCTTGAATATCACAGCAGTCTTCCTTATTTTCCGTGGGAATGGGCTGTCGCTTAGTACGTCAATCACCTCTTATGGACATGTAAGTGATCTCTGATATTTTGCAACTTTAAATAATGCTGCAATGAGGGACTTCCCTGGTGGCGCAGTGGCTGGGAGTCGCCTGCCAATGCAGGGGACACGGGTTCGAGTCCTGTTCTGGGAGGATCCCATGTGCCACGGAGCAACTAAGCCCGTGCACCACAACTACTGAGCCTGCGCTCTAGAGCCTGTGAGCCACAACTACTGAGCCCACGTGCCACAACTGCTGAAGCCCGCATGCCTGGAGCCTGTGCTCCGCAACGGGAGAAGCCACCGCAGTGAGAAGCCCGTGCACCTCAATAAAGAGTAGCCCCCACTCGCCACAACTAGAGAAGGCCTGTGCGCAGCAACGAAGACCCAACACAGCCAAATAATAATAGTAATAATAATGCTACAATGAATCTGCTTGTGTATGTGTGGTTTGGTTTTTTACAAAAATTGCTGTAGATATACATTTAGGATAAATTACAAGACGTGGGAATGCATAGGTAATCTTTCTGCAGATTGCCAAATTCCTTCCAGAGGATTTGTGCTCTTTTGCATTGCCACCAGCAGCGCACGAGTCCCTGTCTCCCCACAGCCTCACCATCAGAGGATGTAGGCAGTGTTCTCAATTTGTGCCTGTCTGATGGGTAAGGTATGAGACAGCTCAGTGTGGTTGTCGTTTGTATTTCTCTTAGAATGAGAGAAGTGTCTTATTATGTTAGGTGCCTAAGTGACTTTTATTTGGTGTATATATATATATAAACTTTTAAACAGATTTATTGAGGTATAATTAACAGTTTAAAACTGCACATAAGGTGACAAGGAAATAAGTTTTTACATGTATGTAAACAGTAAAACTACCACAATCAAAATAATGGAAATATTTATTATCCCCCATGCTTCCTCTACCCCTTTGTAAGTCCTCCCTTCCCTCCCCCCTCCTATCCCTAGCAAACACTGATCCATTTTCTGTTGCAGATTAATTTTCCTTTCTAGAACTTTGTATAAATGGAGTCATATTACATAGACAGATGGTCCCCAACTTATGATGGTTCAACTTATGATTTTTTTTACTTTATGATGGTGTGAAAGCAATACACATTCAGTAGGAACCATATTTCAAATTTTGAACGTTGCTCTTTTCCAAGCTAGCAATATGCAGTCTGGTCCTCTCCCATGATGCTGGGCAGCGGCAGCGAGCGCAGTCCCCAGTCAGCCTGTGATACGAGGGTGAGCAAGCATCCTGGACCCAGACAACCATTCTGATGTTCACTGTCAGTATGGTATTTAATCCGTTACGTGAGATAGCCAACACTTTATTATAAAATAGAGCTTGTGTTAGATGATTTTGCCTCACTGCCCACTGATGTTGGTGTTCTGAGCACATTTGAGGTGGGCGAGGCTCAGCTGTGATGTTCGGTAGTTTAGGTGTAGCAAATGCATTTTCAGTTCACGGTATTTTCAATTTATGATGGGTTTATTGGGCATAATCCCATCGCAAGTCAAGGAAAAGCTGTCCTCTTCTCTGGTCTGGTGTCTTTCACTCAGCATAATTATTTTGAGATTCATCCGTGCTTCTGTGTGTATCAGTGGTTCATTCCTTTTTGTTGTGGAGTGGTATTCCATTTCAGAAATGAACAATTTGTCTGCCTATTCACCTGTGAAGGATTGTTGTTTCTAGTTTTTGGCTATTCCAAATAAGGCTGCAGGAAACATTCACGGACAAGTCTTTGTGTGGACATATGCTCTGTTTCTCTCGGGTAAATGCCTAGGAGTGGAATGGCTGGGGCATATGGTAGGTGCGTTTTGAACCTTTCAAAGAAATCGCCAAACTCTTTTCCAGTGTGGTTCCACCATTTTGCATTCCCACCAGCAACGTAGAAAAGTTCGTTTCTCCACATCCTCCCCAACACTTGGTATGCCTAATTTTAGCCGTGCAAATACGTGTGTGATATCTCAATGCGCTTTTAAAAAGATATTTATTTATTTGGCTGCGCCATGTCTTAGCTGCGGCTTGTGGGATCTTTCCTCTTTTTTTTCCGGTACGCGGGCCTCTCACTGTTGCGGGCTCTCCCGTTGCGGAGCACAGGCTCCGGACGCGCAGGCTCAGCGACCGTGGCTCACGGGCCCAGCCGCCCCACGGCATGTGGGATCTTCCCGGACCGGGGCACGAACCCGTATCCCCTGCATCGGCAGGCGGACTCTCAACCACTGCGCCACCGGGGAAGCCCTGCCCATATCTTCTTGACTTTGTGTTTTGTGTGGGATTTGTTCATTTCTAAGTTGTCCAATTGTTTGGCATAAAGTTGTTCATAATATTCCCCTACTAGCCTTTTAATATATGTAGAATCTTAGTGATGTCACCTCTGTCGTTCCTGATACTATTGGTAATTTGTGTTTTTTCTATTTTTTTTCCCAGCTCAATCTGTTTTAAGGTTTATCAATTACTGGTCTTCTCAAAGAAGATTTTAATTTCATTTTCTGCTTTTCTGTTTCCTATTTGACTTTCACTCTGATATGTATTATTTCCTCTATTCTGCTTAGTTTGGGTTTCATTCGCTCTTCTTTGTTTAGTTTAAGGCAGAATTTGAAGTCATTAATTTGAGACATTTCTTCTTTTTTGACATAGACCTTTATTGTTATGTATTTCCCCTACACTGCTTTAGCTGTACACTACAAATTTTGGCATGCCGTCTTAATTTTCAGTCAGTTCAAAATACTTTGATTTCTCTTCTGATTTCTTCTTCAACCCATGGGTTATTGGAAGTATGTTATTTGGTTTCTAAATATTTGAGGATATTCTAGAGATCTTTTTGCTATTGATTCTAATTTTATTCAATTATGGTCAAAGAAAATACTTTATAGAAGCTGAGTTCTTTTCAACTTATTGAGGCTGGTTTTATGACACAAAATGTGAACCATCTTAGTAGATGTTCTATGTGAATCTGAAAAGAATGTACATTCTGCTACTGTTGGCTGGTCGGTCTATAAATGTCAGTTGGTTGATTGTATTGCTCAAGTCTTACATATCCTTACTGATTTTCTACTTGTTCAGTTATTGAGAAGGGTTTTGGGAATCTCCAACTGTAATTGTAGATTGCCTGGTTTTTTTTTTTTTTTTTTGGCTGCACCATGCAGCGTGCAGGATCTTAGTTCCCCGAGCGGGGATTGAACCCACACCCCCTGCAGCGGAAGCACGGAGTCCTAATCACTGGACTGCCAGGGAATTCCGATTCTTCTTCCAGATCTTTCGCTTTGTGTGATTTGGAGCTCTGTTATAGGAGCACGAGTTCTCATGTCCTTTGGATTAGTTGACACTTTTATCATTATTAAATGATCCTTTATATCTAACCTATTCTTTGCTCTGAAACCTTTTTCTGATATTAACATACCTGCTCCAGAAACTTTTTCACACTATGTTCTGATACATGTTGTAGCATGTATCAGAACTTCATTCCTTTTTAAGGCTGAATAATACCCATTATGTGGGTAGACCACATTTGTATACTCATTCATCTGTTCACAGACTCTTGGATTATTTCCACCTCTCGGCTGTTGTAGATGAGTAACACTTCTTATGAGCATTGGCGTACAAGTATCTGAGTCCGTTTCCAATTCTTTTGAGTTATACCTAGGAGCGGAATTACTGGCTCACATGGTAATTCTACGTTGAACTTTCTGAGGAACATATAAGGGCCCCCGGATGTTCTGGGTTCAACACATCCTTCTAGAAGTCTAGCAGTGGGCCTGCTCCCCCGGCCCCAGATTCAGTCCTGGCCCAGTGCAGGGCCCACCTCTCTCCCTGCTCCAGCTCACCTCTGCTGTTGGCCCAGAAGCTTCCAGCCCAGTGCGTCCACCTCATCCCTCGGCTTGGCGAGGTTCAGATGCTCAGGGGCCTCCCTGCCCCACTACTTCCTTCCATGCAGCCTTCATTCCTTCTGCCTAAACCTGTGTGGTCAGTCTTCTGCTGGACTAGGCCAGTTAAGCAAACACTCATCTAGGTGTTGCTGTGAAGGTATTTGGTCCGTGTGCTTCACGTCTATGATCAGGTGACTTCAAATAAAAGTTTACTCTCAATAATGTGGGTGGGCATCCTCCACTCAGTTGAGGCCCAGGAGAAAAAACCTGAGGTTTCCCTGAGGGATAAGGAAATCTGGCAAGGGCACCCTAGGGGGTACCCCACAATTATGCCAGTGGATTATAAGACCGCATACCTGTCTCCTCCTGGGCAAGCTTCCCTGATAGAGGGGCCCCTGCCTCAAGGTGTCCAGCCTGCTTTCAGGAGCCAGGCGTTGCCCCCTCCCTCCAGCAGGGAGCAGAGGGTGGTCCCTTCCGGGCCACCAGGACTTGGCCAGGACAGCGCAGGCTCACAGGGCTGGTCAGGAAGAAAGGATGCCCAGAGGCCAGAGCGCACGTGCGGTTTAATCGTGGGGAGGCTCCAGAGGAGACAACATTTCTACCAGGTTGGTGTAAAAATGAAACAGGATCCAGACATGGTTCTTTACACAGACAATTACAGTAAATTTCAAAATCCAAGCAGCAGTTTGAATGTTGTTTCTTGAAAAATGAACACAGACGAATAGGGTGGGTGCCCAGTGCCCGGGGCTGCTCCGCTCCACTGCCGGCATCATGGGGCCCCGGCCCGGCTACCGCGTGCCGGCCTCACAGGTGGACCAACCGGCGTCTCCCTGGCGACCCAATAAATAGGAGAATCCGAACGGAGAAACGACAAATGGACCCGCGTGGCAGAGCCCGCGCGATTCAGGAAGCTTGGCCTGGCTGGCGGCTCGGCCGACTCTTCACAGACCGGGCAGGTCTCCGAGTTGGTGGCGCGGGTCCCAGCCCCGCGCCCAGGGCAGCCGGGATGGGGGGTAGGAGAGGGGAGGGCGCTGGTCCTACTGGTGGCTGCACGTGGGGTGCGGGGGCCGGCGGGGTAGGCCCCACATGCAGGACCCTCTGGCCTAGCCCTCCCGCACGCTGACACGGGGCTCGGCCAGGGAGCTGTGGATGATGCTGAGGATGGATTCCAGGCCGCTGCCCTCCAGCAGTGTGCGGTGGTCACCCTCAATGACGTGCACGGACACCTTGCCGTCGCACACCTGGGACAGGTTGTAGTCAGCGCCCAGGTCCTCGCCGTAGGTGCCGCCTGTCTTGGCGCGCAGCAGTGTCACGTTGCCATGGTAGGTGGCCTGCGGTGTGTACTTCTCGGCCGCCCGCAGCTTCTGGTAGAAGGAGCGCGCCGCGAAGCGGACGGCATGGCGGTCCAGGCCCGCATGGCTCTGTGCGATCAGCTCCACGGCGGCCGCCACGCGCTCCTCCAGGCCCTCGAGGGGCAGTAGCGCCTCCAGGACCTGGAGGACAGACAGGACAATGAGTGGCGCCAGGCACGTGAATGGGGGGCAGGGGTGTCGGGAGGCCTCTGGCCACACGGTATCTGCAGACTCACCCTGCCGTGCTCCGCGTCAGTGAACTGCTGTACGAAGAAGCACATGGCCTCGGCCTCGGCCTCGGCCTCGCAGCCAGGGGTCATCTTGGCGCGGTAGCTCTGCAAAGGGAGGAGGGGCTGCTGCAGTGGCGGCACAAGGGGCTGGGACTCCAGACCTGGCCCCAGGGGCGCCGTTGCCGCCCTCACCTGCGTGTAGGCCAACACGTAGGTGTGCGAGCCATCGAACAGGAAGAGGCTATTGTTCGTGGGGCCGGCGCTCTGCTGTGCCTGCAGCTGTGAGCACATCTCGAAGGCCACGCAGGCCCCATAGGAGTAGCCAGCGATGCGGTAGGGCCCCTCTGGCTGCACCTGCCTGATGCACTCGATGTAGTAGGCGGCCAGGCTCTGGATGCTGTCCAGGGGCGCAGCTGCAGGGACAGCATGAGGCTTAGCCCTTGTCTGGACGTGCACGTCACCCCCAACCCACTGGGGGACAGAGGAGGCCCGCTGTGGGGACAGCCCCGCAGGACCCTGACACACCTCCCGTGCACTGCAGGCCGTAGGTGGGAATGCTGAGCTTGGCAGCCAGGCTGTGGAACACTGTGATGGAGCCCTCGATGGGGTGCACCAGGAATAGGGGCCGCTCGGAGCTCTGCACAGAGTTGAGTGGAGCCAAGGTCGGGCCCTCAGGGTTCACCAGCAGGGTGCTCAGGTTCAGCTGGGCCTGCTGCCGGGCAGGGCTGTCCTCCTTGGGTGTGGGGGCCACCAGCTCTGTGAAGAGAGGCAGATGCCAGGGAGGGCCGGGGCCACATGGGGTCCCCTGCTACAATCCCCCAGCATGCACACATATACACGCACACACCTGACTGGGGCTGCTGGTGGCTAGGGTAGGAGGTGGATGGGGGCACTGGGCTCCCACTGAGGGCTCTCAGGACGGGGCCAGATGGACGAGCCCTGACCTGGGTCACGGGGTGGGTCCAGGCTGCTCACAGGCCAGCAGCACTGAGAGGACCTGTGCTGTTTCGGGGATACCCCCCTCCACACCTACCATCAGCTGTGCCAGCCTGCGAGGAAAGTTCCTGCAGCTTCCGGAGCGTGAGCTGCTGGATTTCCCGCATGGACAGCACCCGGTCATGCTCTCGCTCCAGCGTCTGGCGCACCTCCACAGCCATGAGTGAGTCTAGGCCCAGGTCTGCCAGTGAGCTGTCCAAGTTGACAGTGGCCAAGTCACGGATGCCTGGGGAGAGGCGCTCAGTTGGCAATGGGGGATGGGCCTTGGTGGGTACTGTACCCTGAGGGCTGGGTCTTCCCAAACCATCATCACTATGGTCATGGCACACAGCACCCACCCGGCTCTGCATAGACTACCTGTGTCTCTCCCTCCATGAGCAAGCCGGCATGCCCCCTTCTGCAGCCAGGGAGACCAGACTCAGGGGAGCTGAGTGTCTGCCAGGTGGGGGGTGCAGGGTGCTCCCTCACCCAGGATGTGAGCCACAGCCTTCACCAGGTCCTGCTGGCTGCTGCCATCACCATGGGCTGCGGCCTTCTTCTCCGCCAGCACAAAGCTGCTCAGGACGGGGTGGGGCTGGTTCAGGAAGAGGTCCAGCACCTCCATGCAGGAGATGATGCGTTGGGGCAGCGTCCCGCCAATGACTGTGTCGTTGGTACCCATGGTCTCCAGCACGACGCCCACATCGCCAATTGCACCCCACTGCACGGCGAGGCCTGCGGGTGAGGGAGGGTGGGGGGCTGGGGTAAGAAGGGGCACAAGTGAGGGTGGCACCGCAGGAGTGGAGGAAGAGGGGCGGGCAGACCCACCTGGGAGGCCATCATGCCGGCGCTTCTCACATATGCGCTCCATGGCGGAGTTGGCGAACCCGTAGTTGGTCTGGCTGGCGTTGCCACGCCCGCAGCTCACCGAGGAGAAGACCACGAAGTAGTCCAGCTCGGGGCATGCCTCCCGGGTCACCCTGTGGGTTCTTGAGTCACCCCCAGCCGGCCTCCCCAGCCCACCGGCCGACATGCCCAGGATCCCTGGCTCGCCTGCCAAACCGCCTCCACTGCCCCGGACCCTTGGTTCAGACCCCGGCAGAGGCCTGTGGCCTGGTCTCTGGACAGCAGTGTGAGGGTCGTGCGGGGGAGGGCTGGGAGAAGGAGAGAGAGAAGGGAGGAGCCCACCTGTCCAAGTTCAGGGTGCCACTGTACTTGGGTTTGTTGACGTCCTGGAAGAACTCAGGGGTCTGGTTCTCCAGCATGGCGTCTCTCAGGACCTGGGGTGAGGGGATCTTAGCACCTGCCTTTGCCCCAGGGCTTTGGAGGGCTTGCTTGGGGCGGGGGGCTTCCCTGGGCAGGTGGCTCCAGCCCCTTTAGAGCCGTCCTCACCATGGCCAAGTTGAAGACGCCGCCTACAGGCCCAAGCTTGGTGGCCTCAGTGATAAGGCTCCGGGCACCATCCAGCGAGCTGGCGTTGCTGGTGGACACCAGGACCTGCACACCCTGGCGTCTCCACTCACGGACCTGCCTGGCCTGGTAGCCTGCGGGACACAGATGGTGGGGATGGGCGAATCAGGGCTCTGGCCCTAAGCCCAGGTGCCCGGAGGGCAGCAGGAGGGGGAGCTGACTGAGGCCTCTCCCATCGCCCCACCCTCGTGCTCCCTGGGGCCGGTCACCTGTGCGGATCCCGGAGCGGGAGGTCAGCACCAGCTTCTGGGCCCCTCGCAGCATAAGCCACTGAGACAGCTCTAGGCCGAAGCCACCCAGGCCCCCTGTGATGATGTAGGTCTTGTGGGAGGGGCAGTAGGTCTTGGACAAGGCCGCCGTCAGGGTGGGCTTGGTCCCTTGCAGCACCGCCTCCTGCTCTTCCTCGCGTACCTGCAGCCCAGGTAGCACCGCTGTTCACACACTGCCGGCAGGGGCCGGAGCTGGGGGTGCCTGGGGTGCCCTACTCACCTGGAGGACCACTTTGCCGATGTGTTTGCCCTGGGCCATGTAGCGGAAGGCGTCCTCCACCTGGGTCTTGGGGAACACGGTGCACTTGAGGGGCTGCACCACGCCGTCCCGGATGCCCGCCTGCAGCAGCGCCGACACCTCCTGCCAGGTGGCGCTGTCGTCATCAAAGATTGCATCCAGCAGGATCCCGTGGAAAGTCACGTTCTTCAGGAAGATGGCCATGCCTGGACAGGTGGGCAGGTGGCGGCCTCACCACTCAGCTGACAGCCCACCCTGTGGACCCCTGCTCTGCCCAACAGCCCCCTGCCCACCCGGCCTGCTGCCAAGCCTCACCCAGGGGATGGTTGTTGGAAAGGTCAAATTTGCCAATTTCCAGGAATCGACCATGCTGGGCCAGGCACCGCACGCTGGCCTGCAGCTTCTCTTCCGCCAGGGAATTCAGGACGAGGTCAACACCTTGGGGTGGGGGGGCAAGAGGGGTCCTCACAGTCAAGACCACTGCCCAGCCAACGTGGCACAAGTCCAGAAGGCCAGACCCTGTCCCCGCCTGGGCCGGTGTCTCCTCCAGCTTGGCCGGAGAGAGGGGGATGGGAGGAAGAGGGGGCTGAGAATATGGGTGGATGGTGGTTGGCTAGTGATGGGAGCCACTCACCCTTCCCGGCCGTGTGCCAAAGCACGTGCTGCTCGAAGGACGTGTCCCGGGAGTTGGCAAAGCTGGCTTCGTTGAGCTGTGGGAACCTGGCCTGGAGGTATGCCCGCTTTTCAGCTGACCCTGGTGGGGAGAGACGCTGCTGGTAAGTCTAGGCTTCAGGCGTTGGAGGGGCAGTCCTGGGCTCTGGGAAGGGCTGTAGGCTTACCCACAGTGGTGAAGACGCGGCAGCCCAGGCTGAGAGCGATGGCGATGGCGGCCTGACCCACACCGCCCGAGCCCGAGTGGATGAGCACTGTCTCCCCAGGCTGCATGCGTCCGCGTACTACCAACGCGTAATAGGCTGTGGCATAGACGACGGGCACTGAAGCTGCCTCCTCCAGGGTCCTATGGGCACAGCGCAGGGGTCAGATCTGGCCTGACCCCTTGGCCACATCCATGTTGGGCCCCAGGTCACAGCCCTGACCGACTCACCAGTTGGAAGGCACGTCCCACAGGAAGTCCTGAGACACCAGAATGGAGGTGGCCAGGCCTTCGGCGGGCACCAGCCCCATCACACGCTTGCCTCTGGCATCTCGGCCGGAGAACTCCATGCCCAGCATGCAGTCTCGAGCGACCCATTTTCCTGGGGGCAGATGGTGGGTGAGCCCCTTACCTCCCCAGGAGCACCCCAGTGTGTGAGCTTGGGCTCGAGGAGCCTCCCAGGTTCCTGAGCATTGTGCGGTGAGGACCCCCTCTTCCCAGGTCCTGGCCCCAAGGGTCTTTGTTCTGGTCCCCCCACTGTGTGCTGCTTGTACCTGGGATGGCGTCAGGGGACAGCTTGCCCGTGGCCAGCATGATGTCTCGGAAGTTGAGGGAGGCATAATAGATGGTGCAGAGCTGGACTCCAGGGCCAGTGGGCTGGGCGTGGCGCAGAGGAGAGCAGACCCAGCGGATGGAGGAGAGGTCCCCTCGGGTGAGGATGTTTACGAAGGCATGCTCTGTCTGCTCCTCTGGCCGGTCTGTGGGTGACAGAAAGTGGAGCTGCCACAGGGTCACACGCAGCCCTGGGCTGGGCAGGGCTTCCAGCCAGGGTCCCCCTGCCCTCTCCTTCTCAGCCCACCCAGCTGCGAGGTGAGGAGCCTGGGGGGGCAGGGTGGCACATTGGGCGCTCACCCTTTTCCAGTGGGAAGTGGCGGAACGCCCCCCAGGCCCCGTCCCGGTAGACGTTCATCACCAAGTCCCCCTGTAGCACCTTCTGCAGCTCCAAGGAGTTTGGGTCCATCTCAGGGATGGGGGACGTGCTACTGAGGTTGGACACCAGGACGCACCTATGGGCAGCCAGACAGGTGAGGGGAAGCTGGGGGGGCGGGGTGGTGGTGGAGGGGAGGAGCAAGGGGCATGCAGCTCAGTGGGCATCTCACCGAATCCGGAGCCCGCCGGGCTCTTTTCGGAGACAGTTCACCATGCCCACGACACCTGAGGTGGTGCAGCCAACGGCCATGAGCCACACGGGCCGGGACGAGGAGTCAGCCAGGATGTTCTGTAGAACGAGGGAGGGGTTGGCGTCTGGGGGCTCCCCAGGCCCCAGCGTTGGAGCTGCATTAGCCAGGCCTGGCCAGGGCTGGGAGGGACTGACCTTCAGTGAGTCGACCCATCTGAAGCTGGCGTCCTCCACGGACAGGAAGACTGGGCTATCCTGCGGGGCTGGCCGGCGGCACAGGAAGAGCGCAGAGCCGTAGAAGGACCTCTTCAGGGCCACCAGGTGCAGGGATGCCCCGGTAAATAGGCTCTCCCACTCGTCCTGTGCGTTGGGGGGTCAGTGCTCGGCAGCCTCCTGGCCCCTCCCCATCCCGGCCCCTCCCCATCCCGGCCCCGCCCCGCACCTGGCTCAGGAGGTGCTGCCCCCCTTGATGGGACTCAGAGCAGGTGAGAAGGGCGACCGTCTCCCCCAGGGGGTAACCTCCGAGCAGCGTGTGCAGCAGCAGGAAGCCTCCCTCCTTCAGGGTAGCCGCCATGTTGCCGACGGCCGTGGCCGGGTCACCAAGGGTGGCCAGGGCACAGTTGCACACCAGGAGGTCAGCCCTGCTCAGGCTGCTGGGGGCCGGGTCCACAGGGTCCCACTGGCCTTGGGTCAGGCCGAGCTGCTGCAGCTTGGCTTGGGCAGCCTCCAGGGCCTGGGGGTGGTGGTCAGTGGCTATGTAGTCCAGCTGCATCAGGGGCTGGGTGTTAAGTAGCGCCGGGATGCGGGAATACAGTCGGCCGTCACCAGCCAGCACCTGGGGTGGAACAGCTTCTTGGATCAGCTGCCACGGGGCAGGCGCACCCACCCCCTCGGCTGGGTGTCTCCCAGAAAGGCCCACCCGCCAACTCTGCTGAGGCCACTGGCCAGCGCTGCCCTGTCCACAGCACCCGCAGAGCCCACCTCCAGCCCCTTCTCTGTGCCCCTTCCCCTTCAGTGTGCGGGCGGCCTCGCTTCAGAGGGGCCCCGGCCGTCCTGGTGTTTGGGGCTGCCTGCGTCTGGGTCCACATGCACAGTGCTTGCCTCTGCGCTCAGCACCCACCTCCACCACCTTCATTCTGAGGCTGGCCGTGTTCTCCAGGGCGGTGTCCACGCACGCCTTGAGTGCTGGGGAGTCGAGGAGGCCGCTGAGCAGGGGGTCGTCACACAGCAGGGGCCTCTCCTGGGCCAGGACCTGGCCCAGTTCCTGCTGTAGGTTCCCATTGAGTTGCAGTTGGCAGGCAGCGGCCAGCAGCCGAGGCAGGCCCTGCTGCGGGGCCTCCCGGGGAGCCTGGGCACTGTCCAGCCCGGGCACCACCATCTTCAACCCCTGCTGGGCCACCTTCGTCTGCAGTGCCTGTGCCAGCCCTGGGGAGGAGAGAGATGGGTGCTAGGGAAGAGCCTCAGCTGGGCTGGGGTTCCTGAAGGTCCCCCAGCAACTGGCGTCTGCCTGGAGCAGGGACTCGGAGGTAAGCAGGATCCACCGCCCGGCTCTGCCCACTGACAGCAAATAGAAGGACGGAGTGGGCAGTCCAGTCCTCCAGGGCTAGAAACTGGCATCAACCATCGGGACCACTGGGCGGGTGAAGGGCTGCTCTGCCTCCCACCCAGGTGTGAGCCCTACAGAGGGTGGATTCTCCAGAGGGTGGGTTCAGTGCCTTGACGGCCCTGCTGCCCCTCCCCAGCTCTCCCCACCCATCAGCTTGGGTGTGAGCCCTGTGTAGGGAGCTGTCTCATGGCATTACGCCTATACGACTGGCTGGGGCACAGACAGAAGGGGACAAATCTGTCACCTATGTGTGCTAGGCCTCCTCTGAAGACATCAGCTCTGGGTGGGGGGAGCCAGACCTGGGGGCACTCACGAGGGGAAGGCAGATATGGGCTCCACATGAAGGAGGGGCTGTGACGGGGCGATGAGGGGAGGTGATGAGCTCCCCTTTGCCAGACTGGGCACAGGAACTGGGAGCTGGACCCCGGGATGAAGGGGGTGGGTGCAGGCCTCACCCCTGCACAGCTGCAGCTCCTCCTGCAGGGCCAGGCTCCCAGCCAGGCACCCGCTCTCCACGTGCGGCGTGAAGCAGAACTTCTCCAGGACGGGTGCCAGCTGCTCCTGCTGCCGCCGAGGGGCCACCGAGGCGTGGAGCCGCGAGATGTGGACGCTGCCGGCCACGATGCTGTTCAGATACCTGTTCACCACCACGTCGGCCACTGCGGGGACATGCTGGGTAAGTGCGGGCAGCACCTGGCGCAGGGACACAAGTGTGCGGGGCCAGGGCGGGGCTACCTTGTGTCTCGCCTTGCAGCGCATACAGCTTCTGCCGGTGGGTGGTGGGGTCGATGTGGATGGCGGTGATGCGCGTGGGCAGGCACAGGTTGCGGTGGCCCGGGACCAGGAGGGACATCTGCAGCATGGTGTCCAGGAAGGTCACCCAGTTGTCTTTCCACAGCAGCCGGCCTGTGTTACCTGGGGTGGAGGGACCGTCAGCTCGGCCAGGTTGGGTCTCTCCCCCAGTGGGCCCTCTCCTCCATGCGGCCCCCTCACACCCACAACTGCCCTCCCTTCACCCAGCTTGGGCATCTAACGCCGGGCAGCAGGAGTTAGCCCCAAAGCATGTTCCTGAGTATAAAGTGGGGCCCCCTTGCACCCACCTTCGAGGTTGGCCTCGAGAATGCCCTGGAAGTGGGGGCCGTAGTTGTAGCCCCGCAGCCGCAGCTCCTTGTACACATCGCTCTGGCTCAGGTGGAACGCAGCACTGGGGTCTACAGGTGTGGGGCCCGTGCCATACTGGTTGTCAAAGAGCCTGGGATCGGGGTCCTTCCACTGGTGTATCTGCCCTGTGGGCGGGGGTGGCAGAGGGCCTGAGGGCAAGGCCGGGCTGAGCTGGCAGCCAGGGTCCACCCAGAGACCCCCACCAGGGACTCTGCAGCCTGGGCGGGTGCCCCTGCTCACCGCTCACGATCAGGTTGCCGTTCTCAGACACCTCGAAGGTGCACGAAGCCTCCAGAAGCCGCACTTCCAGGGGCACGGTCCCTGCAGGCAGCAGGGTCAGAGGTCAGCAGCAGAGGTCAGCAGGCGGCACTCCCGCCCCGCATCCCGAGCCACCGGCCTCACCTGTCTTGGGCAGGATGGTGGCCTGGTGTAGTGTCACGTCCTCGAACACCACAGGCACCTGCTCCATGTTTTGGTCCAGGGCTCGTGCCAGCGTCTTCCAGACCAGGAATAGGTAGCCAGTGGCGGGGAAAATTACGCGGCCGTCGATGCAGTGATCCAACAGGTAGTGGTCAGGGGTCTCAGGGCTGGCATCTGTGGGGCATGGGCCTTAGTGCCAGCGACCGGGAAGAAGGAGCCGCCCCCTGCCTGCCCACACCTCACTCACCGATCTTATAGACAGTGACAGAGGAGCAGCTGGAGCCGCTGGGGAAGTCCTCCACGGCGGGCACATCCCAAGTCTGGCTGTGGTCCCACTTGATGTGCGGGGAAATGAGGGGGGTCCCCCGGGGGGCCGGGAACTCCACGGGTGGGAACAGACCATTGGGGTTTATGTCAATGCTGGAGGATGGAGAGGGGAGATGTGAGCAGCACATTTGTCCCCAGGACCATCCTGGGGTGGGTACTGCCAACCGTTCTCCCCTAAGACCCCAGGGATGACCGAGACGGGGTGGGGTGGGGGCTGTAGTGAGGGTGTGACGGTGGCCCAGCACCCACAGGCCCGCTTCCTGGGGACGATCTCAAAGCCAGCCTATGGCTGAGGGGCTCCCAGGGTCAAGCAGGGCGAGGGGACGCACCCCATCAGGTGCAGCCTGCCCACGTTGCCGAGGAAGAACTCCAGGTTGTCCCTGTGGTCCTTCTTCATCAGCGGGATGACAGTGCAGCTGGACTTGAGGCCTCTCTTCAGGATGGCCTGAGAGGCAGAGACAGGCTGGGCCTCCCTCTGACTAGCTCCCACACACCCCCACAAGGCCACACGGAGCCCGGCCAGCCTGCCTCCCTGCCATGCCCCCGAGCGCCATCCCTCCCGGACCTGACCATCCTGCCCCCCCCAGCACGCACCTGCAGCAGGGCGTGGGGGGCGATCTCCAGCACCACGGCGTGCTCAGGCACGTGCCTCAGTGCCTCCTGGAATAGCACGGGGCTCACCAGGTTGTTAACGTTGTACTCAGCTGAGAACGTGCGGGCCAGGTGGCCCTGCCACTGGGCCTCGGGGATGGAGGTGCTGAGCCAGTACGCGGAGCGGGGCCGCGGCTCCCGGATCACCTGCACGCACGGTCAGGCTGGGTCAGCGTGAGGGAGCTTGGGGCTGCCTGCCCGCCCGTCCTCCAGGAGGCCCCCGCCAGGCAGCCCATGGGGCAGCAACCCACCTTCTTGAGTGCCTGCAGCAGCGCAGGGGCGATGGAGTCCATGAAGTAGGAGTGGAACGCTATGCCACCTGTCCGCACCTCCTTGGCAAACACACCCTCCTGCTTCAGCTGCTGCACGAACTCGGACATTGCGGCCTGGGGTGGGGGCAGGGGTGCTGGACGAGCAGTCCTAGGCCTGTGCCCCGCTCCCCATACAGAGCTCACCCTGAGGGATAGGAGGGGACTTGGGGATGAGGCCTCGCCTCCCAGGGCCCACCTGAGGTCCGGAGATGGTCACAGAGTCCTTGGAGTTGTGGCAGGCAGGCACGATACCAGGGGGGCAGCGCCGCTTACACTCTTCCCAGGACAAGCCTGGGGGCAGAGACAGCCTCAGAAGGTGGCCACAGGGAGCTGGCACCCTCACTCGGTCCCTCCCCAGGGGGAGGAAGACGTTGCCGGGGTGGCTCTAACAACAGAGGCGGTGATGACAGCTGCAGAGCGGCACCTTTACGAGGCACTTTCACCCCTGCCATGTCTGATTTCAGGCAGAGGTGTCGTTAATGCTACCCCAGAGGCGGGAGCCAGTTTCGGCTCAGTATTGAGGCCAAAGGCTCCTACGTCTGACCAACCACAGAGGACCTTGGCCTCACTCTCCTGGCAGTCCCTCAGGTTTTCTCGGGTGTCTTTCCGTCCCCAGCCCTGCCTGCCCGAAGTGCAAACAGGCCCACTCCTTCCCCTGCAGCCCCCAGTTAGCTCAGGCTCATGGGAAAACCATGCTGGCCTCTGCTGATGCCCATGGGCAAGTGTGCTGAGCACCAAGGCCATCAGGCTCAGGGAGGCCATACAGGGCACACTGGAGCAGGCTGTCAGGGTCGCTCTCACCCTGAAGTGAGGAGGACGGTGGCCGGCGAGTCACCCCAGAACCTTGCCTCTGCCCAGCACCAATGTCGAAGGTGCCAGCGTAGACGTCCCCTCCCACGGAGACCCTCAGGCCCATGGGTGGAGTGGGATGGGGGAGCGCAGGGCAACACCTACCCACAGCTGCCATGGCCCCAGGCGGGATGTTGGCCTCCTTGATGCACTGGGCCCTCCAGTAGGCAGCGAGGACAGCCTCCTCCTGAGAGAGGCAGCCATCGGCGTAGCCGCAGGCCACCTCACCCAGGGAGTGCCCGATGATGCCGTCAGGCCGCAGGCCCATGGAGGTCAGCAAGTCTATGAGGGCAATCTGGGGGAACAGGGTGCGTCACGCCAGTCCCGGGGACGCCAGGCTGACCGCCCTGCTGGCCCGCTCACCCCAGACCCTGGGGGTGCACCTGGATGGCAGTGAGGCTCACGAAGGACTGGACGGTGTCATCAAAGGTGGCCTCATCTGTACTCAGCAACAGGTCCGACACCTGCAGTCCCAAAGGCTTCACGGCCTCGTCTGAGCGCAGGATGGAATCGCGGAAGCTGCCCAGGCGCATGAGGCTCAGCCCCATGCCGCGCCACTGTGCGCCCATCCCTGTCCCAGTGAGAGGCGTCAGGGCAGGGCTGCGCGGCCCTGCCCCCACTGCCCTCGGGGACACCCTGGGGAGCCGGGGGCTCACCGGAGCAGATGAACCAGAGTGGGCGCTTGCCAGCCGGCACCTGGTGCACCTCCTGGTTGCCGCCCTGGCCGCCCAGCACAGCGTAGCCACGGAAGGGCATGGTGGCCGTGGGGGCGGCCGCGATGTCGTTGAGCATGCTCACGAAAGCCAGGTCATGGCTGTGCCGGAGGCCCTGCTCCAGCAGGCCCTGCACCGCCTCAAGGGTACGCCCGCTGGCCCGCAGCAGACGGGGCAGGGCAGAGTGCGGGGCAGGCGGCGGGGGCGGCTGGGCGTTGGGCCGGAGGATGACATGCACGTTGGAGCCGCCAAAGCCGAAGGAGTTGATGCCCACATTGCCCCCGAGAACGGGCAAAGGCCGGTCCACTACCTGCAGCTGCCCGTCTTGCAGCGCTGGGATCTTGGGGTTTGGGCTGTGGAAGTGCAGGTTGGGGGCCCAGACCCCGTGCTCCAGGGACAGCAGCACCTATGGGTGCCTAATGGTCAGTGGGGTGGCCAGCCCCGGGCTCCCTGCCCTGCTGGTCAGGGTGGGCTTCAGGTACTTCCCTTCCTGAGGACACTCTGAGGCCACCTGCTCACTGCAACAGACTTCCTTCCCCCCAACCTTGCCCAGCCCCAGTGCAGTGGTCTGGTGACCGAGCCGCAGGCCCCTTCCCCTCTCGGCCTAGGGCCTCATCTAGGGTCCCTGCCACCTCCGGACTAATGGCCATGGGTCTAGACACAAAGGTCCCTCAGCCAGACTCCACCCCAGGTCCCGATCTAAGAGGTGCAGACGGGTGGCTACAGTGGCCCAGGAAGCCCAGAGCACCAGGGAGCCTGAGCAGTGCTGACCTGGACGCTCTGGGCTACCAACTGGTCAGCAGGCCACGGGGAAGGGCAGCCCTGGACAGGTGGGGCCGCCCCGCTGCTTCCACCCCCTGGCTTGGTCTCTTGTGGAGCAGTACCGGGCAAGATGTCTGGCCCAGTGAACTAGGGCAGGGAATGGCTACATGCTGGCACCCTGCTGTCTGGGTCTCAGTGGTCCACACCCCACAGCTCAGCCTGTGGGGATCCTCCCCCGACCAGGCAGCAGGAAGCTGAGGAGGCAGGGGCAGGATGGCCCCAGACTGCCCGCCTACCTTGATCAGTGCTGCGAGCCCCGAGGCGGGCTCCGCGTGCCCCATGTTTGACTTGGTGGACCCGATCAGCAGGGGCTCCTGGCGGGTGGCACACAGGGCCCGCGTGATGCTATTCAGCTCCTGGGGGTCGCCCACCTGTGGGGGACTCAGGGAGGTCAGGACTCCACCCCGGCACCTCTCCGGCGTGGGGTGTGGGGTGTGCACACGGCCAGGCAGGGCCCTCACCTTGGTGCCAGTGCCATGGGCTTCGATATACTCCAGGGACTCGGGGGTCAGCCCGGCCGACTGGTACAGGGAGCGGATGAGCTGCTCCTGCACCTCTCCGGAGGGGAAGGTGACGCCTGTGGGCGGGGCCAGGCCTCAGCACACCACCAATCACCTAACCGCCTGCAGCCCCACCCTCACCCTGCCCGGGCTGCTCCCACCTTGCTCTTTGAAGCCATCAGTGTTGGTGCCGGCATTGAGGATGGTGGCATACACCCGTCGGGCCAGGGACTTCTTGGTCAGCAAGACGGCCACCACAGCCTCTGCACGGCAGTAGCCGTCCCCTGGGGGCAGAGGGCACCTCAGGCCTAGGAGCTCAGGGCAGAGCTCAGGGGCTGGTGTAGGGTGAAACGGGGGCGGGGGGTGCTATCCTGTGCTCCCACGCCCTCCGCCCTCACCTGCTGCATCGAAGGACTTGCAGGAGCCCTCAGGGCTGAGCATGCCCAACTTCATGAACTGCACCGAGGTGTTGGGCTTCAGCAGGATGTTGATGCCACCCACAACGGCCGCGGGGCACTCTCCACTGCGGATGGCCTGGTAGGCGCTCTGCAGGGCCAGCAGGCTGGAGGAGCAGGCTGTGTCCAGGGCAACGCTGGGCCCTGCAGGCAAGGGCACAATGCAGCTGTGGGACTCCCCCAACCTTGGGGCCCTGGCAGCTTTAGCAGGTGCCCTCCATGTGGAGCTTATGATACCAGGACCTCACCCCTGCAGGCCCTCCTCGGAGGGGGGAGTCAGAGTCTGGAAGGGTCTCAGCTGCCGTCCAGCCCCACCCTGCCCCAGTCCGAGGCCCAGAGGAGCTGTGTGTGCACCCACCTTTGAAGTCGAAGAAGAAGGAGAGGCGGTTGGCCATCATGGCACGCTGGCAGCCCACCATACTGTAGCCCATGAGGGTCTCAGGGTCTCGACTCAGAGCCTCTGAGGCCTCAGAGCTGCTCACACCCACCCAGACACCGGTGTTCGTCCCACGAAGGGAAGCTGGGTTGATGCCTGTAGGAGACAGAGATCAGCCCTAGCTGCTGTGACATGCCCAGCCCACCATCCAGCTCTGGGAGGTGCGGCCTCGCCTCTCAGCCTCTCTGGCTTGGGTGAGAGGAGGCTCCATCTCAGCCTGACTCTGGAAGGGACGAGGTGGGCCAGGGAAGAGAGAGCAGAGCCACAGTGGGGCGGCCAGCCCAGGTAGGGCTGAGAACGGATAACCAGGTCACAAGGAACCAGGGCCCAGGCACGGGCGGGGTGCCAGGTGGGGCTCCAGGCTCTGGGTCAGGCAGCGGCCAGAGACAGCCAGAGGTGGGGACAGAGGGCAGCATTGTCCCTAGGCTACTCCCCTGGCCCCTGGTGTTGCTGGCAGGGTCTGGTGAGCCCTGAGGGCGGCCTGCCCTGGGCGGGCCAAGATAAGAAGACAGAGAGAGACAAAAGCCGAGTGTCCAGGCTTGGAAAGGAGGGAGGGACACTGGCCGGCCCCTGGGGAGCCGCATCCAAGGTCTCCGGGTGGGGCCTGGGCAGTGGAAAGGTCTCCACTTTCCCCTACCAGGGTCCTCTCACCTCCCCTCCACTCCACCCCAGGCAGCACGTGTCCATAACCCCATCACGCTCAGTGTCAACCCCAGAGACTGCTTAGCATCTGCTGCAGGACAAGGAACTGCGAGGCCAGGACACCCACCCTGCCAACCACAGGTGGGAGCAGGCAGGCCCCAGGTTCCCCTCAGCACTGAGCTCTCACTGCTCACCTACTGAGGGGCCTCACCCACACGTCAGCCTCCCCTCTCCCAGCTGGCGGGACTTCTACGTCCCTGGTGTCCCTGGGACAAGTCTGTGCCCCGGGACAAGGGGCAGCTGGTCTCGAGGCACTTGTCCAAGGCCAGACTCAACCCAGCAGAGAAGAATGTGGAGGGTAACAGTCGTGGGGCCAGGTCTCGCCTCCTACTCTGCCTGGCACCCTCCCTCGCCCCCAAGATCAGCCATGAAATGGGGAGTGAGGAAACTGGGGCATCAGGACGTGCCTGGGACACCTCTGGTGTGCAGCTGTGAAATGTGACCTGCCCAAGGCCCATGCCTCCCCAGCCCACTGGCCCCGGCCCAGGACTCCGCTCCCTCAACACCTCCTATGTTTTGGATGTTTTGTCATGAACACATGTTGCTCTTAGAAGCAAAATGGACGAACGCTTTCAAGAGGGGCGGCAGGAACCTCAGGGATGGGCCCCCAGAAGTCCCAGGTTGGCTGTCAGCCTCCTGATGACCCACCTCCATCCACAATGGCCTCATAGGTGACCTCCAGAAGCAAGCGCAGCTGGGGATCCATTGTGTTTGCCTGCTTGGGGTGGACCCCGAAGAACGAGGCGTCAAACCGGGACAGGTCCTTCAGCTTGCCTAACCGCCGGGGCAGGCCATACAGTCCTGTGGAACACATGCAAGTGGAGGGGCCAGCCACGGAACCTCACGGCCCTGAGTGACTGACAGTGGCGTCCCTGTGACAACAGGGAGCCAAGGCTCCCCGGGATGGGTGGGCCCACTTCTGAGAGGGGGCCCTAGGGGGAGGCTCATGGGTGGTGTCCCAGAGCACAGCACGGTGGGGGGAGTGCCCCCTCCTCCTACCCACCACTGTCCTGTCCTGGCTGGAGACCCCCCTGCCTGGCCTGACACTGGCCCCAGAGGCTGAGGCCAGGCCAGGCTCCGCCACACTGACTCACATCCCGCAGATCAGGTAGAGCCGCTCTGCTGAAGAACCTACTGGGCGTGAGGGAGTCAAACCAGCTTCCTGGGAGAGCCTCATGTCCTATCTGACAGTTTGGGACATGTGGGCCAGCAGTGGCTGGCCAGGCTCTGCGGGGACCAGGTGGTGGGCAGTGGGGCCGGAGGTGCTCACCCACCTGGCCTAGCTCTGGATCTGCCCCCTCACAGCTTACCTAGCTCATCTGTGAAGTGGGCAAAGACCACGCCCAGGGCCAGCCCTCAGTCTCCTGTGGACTGGAGTTCAGCCCCTAGCCCACTGGTCAGAGGCCCCAGCTTCTCCTTCGCCCTGAGCCTTCTCCTGGCGCCATCCCGCAGGAAGAGCCTGCAGCATGGCCTCACCTTGGGTGACCGCTGGCTCTGCAGGTGGGACGGGAGCTCAGGCCAGAGCGGCCCGTCCTGGTAGCTTGGGGGCTGCGCGCGGCGGCAGTGAGGAGGCCCAGGCCCACTTACCCGCCTTCCACCGCCTGTCATCATCCGTCACCATGTCCACCGCGCCGATGAGGTTGGCCCAGAACTCCTCCAAGTTCTCCGACTCAGGCAGCCTCCCGGACATGCCGGCGATCACCACCTCCTCCATGGCTGCTCTCTCTGCGGGGGGCGGTGTGGGGGACCGGACCCTGGTCAACCTCAGCACCCACACTGCCAGCTGCTGCTCCCCCGGCCCTGGCTCCCTGACCCCCTCCTCCATCTGGCCCACCCAAGGGTCTGAGGGCAGCGGCTCAGAAAGCCCCACAACAAAGATCCACACGGCCAGCTCCTGTGCTGTGTGCCAGCCGGACGGATGCCCTGGGTGAAGTATGTGTACGGTGGTTGGGAGGCGGGGAGTCCGCTCTGGTCCAGCCTGCCTGCACCTCTCACTGGCAGTGTTGGGCTCTCTGGGCATTGGCCCTGGCCTGGGGTGACCCCAAAACGGCCCTGCTGCAGTGGTCCCAGGAGGGGGCCTCACAGTGGGAGGCAGGCAGGGCCAACCCAGAGAAGAGCCCAAACCCTTCCTAGGAAAGGGCTGCCTGGCCATCAGCCCATTAAGAGCTGGCCAAGGGAATTTAGCAGGCGAAGGAGAAAGGGCAAACATGGGGGTGAGAAAGCTCACCCATGCTGACTGGCCGGCTCTGCACTCAGCACCCCACGCTGTCCTCCGTGCTGGGCCCAACGGCTCAGGCACTGAGAGTGCCAAGGCCTGGTGGGGCTCTGGGGCAAAATTGGTCCCTGCCCCACAGTGGACAGACCCAGCCTGTATGGCTGCTCCAGCGAGCTCCAACCTGGAGAACTACTCCTAGTCAGGTGCCGGTCAAGTGCCACCCAGACCCACACACCTGCACACGATGAGGCCTCAGAGTCCTGCTTGCCAACCTCCACGCAGCCTGCCTGGCCACCCAGACCCAGATTCCCAAGACACCAACGAGGGAGCCTAGGCTACCCTGAGACTGTGGGTCCAGGATGGGGGCTCCTGTACAGCCCCTGAGGAAGGGGGCAAGGCCAGGGTTGATCCTGCACACTTCCACCAAGGCTCCAGGGCCTCATGGCGCTAATGACCGCTGGACTCGCCAACCAGCGGCCCTCCAGCGTCTGAGCAAAGGAAAGCACAAGCAAGTGGAGAGAGCGTCTTCCTTGGGTGCCCTGATCACCCTGCTGTCCCGGCAGAGAGGGAGCCCCCTCCCCCAGCGCTAAATAAAGAGCCCTTTGCCGGCCCAGAGGCACCAGCTCCCGGGGCGGCTGCTTCTCCAGAAAGCGCCCGCTCTGTTCTCCCCCTACTTGCTATTCACGCGGAGTCCGGCGGGACTAGGCAAGGGGGTGGAGACCCCTGCAGAGCGCACTGTTTCGCATGCGCCGCCGCGAGGCTGTACGGGGCAGGAGCCGCTCTCCCCCCAGAACTTCGGGGGCTCCAAACGGAGCCCACGTGGTGGGGAAGCCGTCCTCATCCGGCCCCGCGCCTCCTCCACCCACCACCCTCCCTTCTTCTTAGGCCCTCCGGTCGGCTGAGACTCTGCTATCCCGCACCCGGAGGTGGGGGGACGCTGCGAATGGAGGGGCTCGGCGGCCCGGCCTGAAACGAGGCCCTTGTGGGCTGCCGGAGCTGGGCGCACACCGGGCGGCTGGGGGCTCATACAGGCCCTCGAGGGTCCGCAGCCGCCCGGCCCAGCCCAAGACCAAAATGGCTGTTCGCGGCGCTCCTGGGCGTCCGCCCCTCGCCATCCGCCCACCTGCCCCGCCGGGCCTGGGGCATGCCGCGAGGGCCTTTCGCCGCCCGGCCTCGGGCGCCCCGTGGGGCTCGAACATCCATACCGGGGGCTCGGACCCCGAGACCAGGGCAGGCTGTGCGGGGCTACCCCTCGCCACTGGCGCGCCGGACGACGCGCGCCCAAGGCCGGAAGATGCGGGCCGGCGGCGCCCCCTCGAGCCTGACCGCACCACCCCCGCCGCGGCCCCTGCCCGGCCCCAGGACTCCGGTCCCCGGCAACCAACTCCCGACCCCGGCCCGGCCTGGCCGCTCGTACCTGGTCTGGGCGCGGGCGCGGGCGCGGGCGGTGGCGTGGGCGGCGGAGGGAGAGCGAGGATGGAGCGCGCGGCGGAGGGGAGGCCGGGCCGCTTCCGTCTCTCTGGCTCCCTCTAGGCCCGCGCCGGCGCTATTTAACCGCTGCCGTCCCCGCGCGGACACGCCACATGGGCTGACAGCTTGGCTGCGCCGCCCAGGCCAATGAGCGTCAGGGCTGCGCCCCGGGACCAGGCGCGCCGCCGCCAGTGGGGTGATGCCGCGCGCCGCCGCCGGACGCCGGGATTCTGCGCGGGGGCGCGCCAGGGGGGCGCCGGGCTGGGGGCCCCGGGACTCGGGGGGCGCCGGGGCGGGGCGCAGCGTCACCCCCGCCCCACGACTTCCCTTCCGCGCCCCACGCCTCCCGGGGCCGCCCCCACCCACGGGGCCTTGGGGGCCACGTGTGCACGGCGCGCAGTGGAAACGGGACGGGGCTTGCTTGGGTCACTCTGGGGGTTATACTGGGGCCACACTGGGGGCCGGACGAACCCCCGGGCGTAAGGACTGAAGGGCCGGCGTCCGGGACGAGCGAAGCCGGCCCGGGGCGGGGCTCGCTCTGCAGCCGCAGCCAATCGGGGGCCGGGGGCGTGCGCGCTGGACCAATGGCGGCGCGCGAGTGGGCGTTGCTAGGCGATAGGGTGATGGGCCGGCGCTGCGCGGGCCGCAGCGGGCGAGCGCGGTCGTTGACCCGGCCGAGGGCGCCCCGCGCGGGGTTACTGCCGGTCACCACAACGCAGCGCGGCTGGTCCTCCCTGCCTCGCCTCCCAAATTCGCAAGGCGGGCGCGGGGACCGGGGGGACGCTCCCGAGGCCGGGCAGGGGCTCCCCGCAGCCGGCCGCGGGGACGGGGCGCGGCCATCTGCCAAGCGGGCTCTGTACGGACACCTCTTGGTGTGATTTGAACAAAGGAGTCTCCCTGGGCAGAGGCACTCGCGCGCGCACGTGGCCTTTCTCACCCGCGGGCGCGCACACGCACCGGCGGAACTCTGCGTCTCCGCTCACCGGCGCGCCCTCCTTTGTAATTCCCCTGCTCTAATGTTTACCGAATTTACAAAAAACCCTTAACTTCCAGACCAAAAAGAAACAGACATCCCGTCTTGGGGTCAAGTGAGAGTCCAGGAAGACGGCCCTCCCGGACTGGTGGCCACGCCCTGCACCGCCCTGGCTATCTTCTGGGGCCACAGACAGACCCTTGTAAGGCCAATGGAGCCTTGGCAGTTCCCTGGGGCTGGTGCCCCGCAGCCTCATTGTCTTGAAATCAAACACTGCTGCGCTCCTCGCCTGGCTCCTTGGCAACCCCTCTTGCCTTGCCCTCCGAAGCTCAGGGGCTGTCAGTGGAGTGTGGCACTGTCCGCCGACGTTCAGGGACAACACAGAACGGACAGGCACGTCAAACCAGACAACATGGCTTCACGTGGCCACACGCCACCCCCCCCCCCACACACACAGTGCTCCCTAGGCCCCCAGGTAGTCCCAGAGCAGCTCCATACTCCCTGCTCTATTCTTCCCCTTGGCTTCATCATTGGGGGCTTCTGGTTCGCACACTGTGGAATAAAGGGCAGGACAGGAAAAGGTGAGAGAGGGCCCCGAGATCCCACAGCTGAATTGCTGTCCCGAACAACCTTTCTGTGGGATTTTCTTTTCCTTCCTACTTAAGACCTTTTCAGACACCTGGTAACCTGGACCAGGAGTGGCTGGACCGTGCTGCACAAACACCCACAAATCTTGGTGTCTTTTTTTTTTAAAGACCACGTCTTATTATTTATTTTAAAATATTTATTTATTTAGGCTGCACCGGATCTCAGTTGTGGCCCTTGGGATCTTTGTTGTGGCGTGTGGGATTGGCATGCAGGATCTAGCCCCCCCACCAGGGATCGAACCCAGGCCCCCTGCATTGGGAGCATGGAGTCTTACCCACTAGACCACCAGGGAAGTCCCTAACTCTTGCTGTCTTAAGCTATCCTAGGCTCACTTCCTGCTGGTCAGTAGGGCTCTGCTTACTGCAGCCTGCCAGGAGCCCAGGTGATGGGACGATTACAGGCTGGGTGGCTGGGATTGAGTCCCTGGTTTGTACCACAGAGGTCTGGAGACTCATGGGCTTTGAAGTGCTTCTAGGGAAAGCGACAGGGCATCTCTCCTCACTTTTTCATCTAAAGGAAGTCATATGGCAACACCTCACTTAAAGGGCCACATGCCAGACACAGCAGAGCATAGAGACCCCCGCCACCCGGCAGCAAAGCTGTTCCCAGCGTGCTCCTTCCTGGCACATCGGAAGTGACCTGCCATTGCCTCCGCAGCTCCCCAAGCACTGCGCCCAGGATGAGCAGTGCATCTGTGGTTAGGACATCAATATGCCTGTGTAAATTTTGATCTTCCTTCATTCCACAGAGATCAAAGCCTGCAAACCTGATAAACAAGATGACATTCATGAAAGGTACACTTTCAAAGGGACCCGTGGGGGCTCTGCCCCCAGGTAGGCCAGGCCGAGCACCCAAGCATCGCTGGAGATCCTCATGTGGAGGGGCTGCCCACCTCTGCACCCAGCCAGGGTGCGGACCGGCAGGCCACACGCCTCGAAGGGCTGCCCTCTGCTCCTTCTTGGCGGGGGGACAGCTGTGAGTGAGGCAATGCTCTCCTCTTCCACAGAAATGTGCCCCCTCGGGAGGGCCGCCAACTGGCCACAAGCACACTGGCTGCCTGTCTTGTTCCAGGCCCCGTGAGTCCGGACCAGGCCCCAGGAGTAGCATGTGTAATGATGCCAAAAGCACTCATGGTCGAACCTTCGAATCACAAGAAACCTGGCCACGAGAGCCACACATGCAAAGCCCAGGAAATCTTTTACTGTCCTTCCCAAGTTAAAAGAACAATTCGGGGCTCTGCAATCGGCCCACGAGGTGCCTTAGCAGCACTGCGGAGGCTGCTCTTCAGTTCACTGCACACACACACACACACACACACACACACACACACACACACACACACACACACACACCCCCCTCTGATATGGAGATAAAGCCACCAAGGAGGCGGAGGGAGAAGAGACCAAGATGGATTGGAAGGGAGGAGGAGGGGGGAAGGGGGAAGGGGGAGGAGGAGGAGGAAGGGGGGGGAGGAGAAGAGGGGGGGGGGGTGGGGGAGGGAGGAGGAGGGGCGGGGAGGTCAGTCCTTGGAGTTGTAGTTACGAATCTTGGGGGGCTGCTGGCAGCCTTTAGGTTTTGCAGGATGAACCCTGGGGTGTCTGGCAGGCTTGCCCCTTGCTTGGGCTTCCATCTTCATCCCTTCGACGGCAAAGGCCGCCCAAGGCACCAGGGAGCTCCCCTCGGGGTGTTGGAGGCTGTAGGCTGCTGGAGGTGCTGGGTGCTCTAGCAGTGAAGAGAAAAGAGAAAGGAGGGTGCGTCATCATGGGGCAGGAAGGGGCAGGACGCGGTGTGTACAGAGAGCTGGGTTCACTGAGTGCGAGTGGCCGAGCTGCTCACCAGCAGGAACCAGAGACCCCATGCCTGCCCTGGTTCCTCGCAGGAGCCCATGCCGGGGCAACAGCTGTTCCTGGGGGTTCTGGCCCTGGTGTCCCCGCAAAGAAGGTCTGTGTGGGCACGTGCTCTCCAGATGCTCTGCAGGGCCTGGGCCTGCTCCTCCACTGGGCACTCAGGACATTTGGCCCTGAAAATGACATCTCCTGTCGTGCATATTTTGCAATAGGTCCCACGGAGGTACCAGGGTTAATGGTTGACTCACGACACTTCCCAGGCATTTCCCAGGCTGTCAACCACCCCCTGCCCTCTGGCCATGCTTGCCGGGCATCTCCAACCACGCAGCAGCCCCAACATGCGTGGCCAGGCACAGGCCAAGGACCCGGGAGCTGCACCACATGTCACAGGTATGGGCCAATGCTCCAGGGCAGCCCTTCCAAAATATTGGCAACGACTGTCTTTGCACTAGGGCACCATAGGTGATTTTTTAAAAAGTTCTTTGAGCTCTTCTCTATTTTCCTAGTTTTTAGAACTAAGAATGTATTTCTTTCTTTCTTTTTTTTTTTTTGTGGTACGCGGGCCTCTCACTGTTGTGGCCTCTCCCATTGAGGAGCACAGGCTCTGGACGCGCAGGCTTAGTGGCCATGGCTCACGGGCCCAGCCGCTCCACGGCATGTGGGATCTTCCTGGACTGGGGCACGAACCCATGTCCCCTGCATCGGCAGGCAGACTCTCAACCACTGCGCCACCAGGGAAGCCCTGTATTTCTTTTTTAAAAGTACCAAGAAGACGTACAAGAATGTGCTGTACAACATGGGGAATAGAGACAGTATTTTGTAATAACTGTAAATGGAGTGTAACCCTTTAAAAACTGTATAAAAAATAAAAAATAAAAATAAATAAAAAGCAATTGTGAGATGCAAGCTCAGGGGCGGCTCTCCTTCCTGGGCTGGCCCAGCAGGCAGGGCCGGGGTCTGGAGCTCCAGGAGGGTCTGCACTAAAAGACAATGCTGGGACTTCCCTGGCAGTCCAGTGGTTAAGACTCCATGCTTCCACTGCAGGGGGCACAGGTGCTATCCCTGTTGGGAACTAAGATCCCACATACCACATGGTGAGGCCAAAAAATAAATTAAATAAAAGACAATGCTGCCCCAGGGTGTAAAGACAGGTGGGGCCTGGCCAACTGGCACTGGCATCTCACACGTGTGACACACACTGCAGTGACGCACACCGTCTAGCCAGTGTCACCGAGCCCACCCCCCTGGGTCTGGTGGTGGGACGCTGTGGGGAGAGGTCTGGAAGGCCTGCCCAGCGCATGGCCGCGTGCTGTACAGGTGGACGACAGGAACCAACCTGGGCAAGACTTGAGGCCGAGGACAGGCCAGCTGCACAGCCTCTGGAGGAAAAGAACAGTGCTGGTGTGGAGCTGGGAGATGGGAAAGGCCTGGGCTTTGAAAGCACACACACAGGGCTGCGTGCTGGGCTTCTTCCAGCGACTCCAGCACCATGAGCTCGGGGTCTGCCAGGGGCACCCAGGCCCTGGCCCCCTCTCTCATCTTGTGCTCTTTCTGCTCCTCTGGCCTCTGGAGATATCTGGAACCATTCCTCCTTTCCCGGAGCCTCCAGGGGTCACACCCACTGGCCTCCCCAGAGCCCTCAGCCCCAAAGCTGGGCCAGGTTCTGCTCTCCTCCTGCCCAGCGCCTCCGTGCGCTGGGTCCTGGAGTGGGGTGAGGATGTGCGTCCCTGGACGTCCCCAGGCTCCCTTCTGCTTCCACTGGCCATGGCTGCCTCTCCTTCTCTGGGAAAGCGCCCGTGTCTGTGGTTCTTAAACCCCAGACGAACTCCTCCTCTCTACACAGAGACACTCCCACCCCAGATGCCTTTACAAGTACTTATACAGGGATCTCTGGTCAGCTCCATGCTGCTCACTTGGTTTCCTCCTGGAATGCAGCGGCCACTGGGGAGGGGCAGGGTCAGGACCCTGACCGCTGTGATGCTGGGGGTCCTTCCCTATAACTCGAGGGAGCGGCCCCTTCAGGGGTTCTGTGGGCATGACCTGAGTCCATCCCAGAGTCTCCACCTGGAGGCTCCTGGAGAAAGTGAGGTGGAGGGAGAAGGGCCAGCCCAGGCCCCAAGACCTTTGCTTGGGAGGCCAAGCTCCCTGTGCCCGGCTGTCAGGAGCTGTCTGCCAGTTCAGCCGGATGCCAGGCACGTGGTTCCACTGTGTGCTGGGAGCACAGGCCAGGCAGACCCACCTATCTGCCTGCGGGCAGGGCCTCTGAGCCGAGGCTGGGAGGATGGCACAGGCGGCCTTGCAGGCTCTGGTTTTTGTCCCTGTCCTCGCAGTGTCACCCTGAGGGGGTGACTGGCTCCTCCAGGACAGGCTCCCGGGGCAGGGCAGTCCTGGCTCAGGCACGAAGCTGGACACCTCAGGCCTGCTCTCCTCAGGACACTCCCTGTGCCCGAGCCGTGGTCTCCGCTTGGTTAATCTGCGCCCTCACTCGGACCAGGAGCTGGTGTGTGGAAGCGAGGCTCCCACCGTGCTCTCTGCCTGCTCTCCCTTGCCTGACCTGCTCTGCTGTCTTTCTGCACTGGTTCTGATCAGGCTTCAGGGAAATCTGGGGGCACAGCACTTGCCTCTCATGGGCTGCTGGTCCAGCTCCAGCTCTCAGGAAGGTTCAGTGAGATGCCGAAGACCTCCCAGTATGAACCCGGGAGCAGGACGGGGGGCCCTGCAGGGGCTGACAGTGCCAAGGGGGGTGTGGGCCTGCACTTATGGTGGGCGGCCTTCCCCACAACCTTCCTGGCGCCTGTAATGACCTTGAGCCTGGAAGTTCTTGTGGACCAGCGCCCCGGGGGAAGTGGGCTAGTCTCCTGTCTTAGGGCCTCCTAGGGCTGGCTCTTTGAGCAGAGCTCTCTGGAGGCTCGGAACTGCTGGTCAGCTCCCTTCTGAGTTGGCTTCTAGGCTGCCTGCTTTCAGGGTGACCCTGAGCACGCCTGCCAGGCCTGTAAGGGCAGTTGGAAGGGCTGGGGACTCAGCTGCACTCCTGAGAAAGGGGATATGGAGCCATGTCTGCCGTGGCTCTCCAGAGCCTTCACTGGAGCTGGGTGGCTGCTCTAGACGCAGGTACCAGTTGTGGCCTTGGCCACAGGGGACGAGGCCTCCTCAGGCTCACTTCAGCCTCAGCTGCCCTAGCCAGTCCTTCCCTCTCCTCTCTGGGTGACCACCTCTGCGTGCCGGCGGCCCCTCGTTTCTGTCGAGACCTCTCTCTTGCTTCCCTGGGAGCCCCTTAAGCCCCAAAGTTCAACATTTCTCAAATTGGGGGAATGACACCCCCAGGTCTCCTCGTGGATCAGTGGTTAAAAGTTAGATTCCGTTACACTCCTCACCCCCAAATCCTTCCAAGGCTTCCCACCACTGTTGGGATAGAGCCCCAAGCCTTCCGTGTATGATGGGTGTGGATGGTGGGCATGACCTGGACCCCGAGCAGCCCGGCCCTGCCGGGAGCTGCTGCTGGCCCCTGGTGCAGAGGCTCTGGGAGGACACTCCCAGGCCCGACTCTACTCAGCCGGGTGGAGGAGGGGCAGGCAGGAAACGCCAGATCCTTCAGGGTCCTGTAGCCACCCCCAGCCTTGGGCTGGGGACGCTGCCCCGACCAACCTGGTTAACAGAGCAGCATCACCACTCCTCCCCCTCCCTTCCTGAAGTTAAGGCCTGACACTAACCCCTAACCGCTCCTGCTTACCATCATTTTGGGGGTACCTCCTCCCTGGTTCTGGGCTCATCCAGGACTGTATGCTAGCGCCCCTCAGTGTGGCCCAGTGTGGTTTCCATCTTGGGCTTTGGGAAGGGCTGCCGGGCCGCAGGGTGCCAGGACTTGGGCAGGGGACTTAGCAGAAATACCCTGTGGCAGAGGACGTGAGGAGAGCCGGCACCGCCTCCATGGTGACTCTACCCCTTTTCGGGGCCTGTCTGAGCCCCAGCTCCCCAGAGGAGAGGGGCTGGCAGAGGCCAGGTCAGGTGGGCAGGCACCAGGCGCATGGGTGCAGGCGTGGGCAAGGAGGAAATGGCACCAGGACAGAGGTCAGGGCAGTGGGGGCTGGGGTCAGGTGGCAGAAAGCAGAGGCTGGGCCACCAAGCCTGGCTGGGTCCCTCCTTTGGAGGGAAGAGGGCTGGCGGGGCTGCCTGGCCGGGGGGGGATCCGAGTGCCCAGGCTGCACCCAGAGAGCCTGTGTCCTCTGTAAGGCATGTGTGGGGACAGCAGGGAGGGCACAGATGAGCACATGGGGTGGGGTAGATTCTGATCTGCCTTCTTTCCAGAGATCAAAGACTGAAAACCTGATAAACAAGATGACATTCATGAAAGGTACACTTTCAAAGGGACCTGTGGGGGCTCTGCCCCCAGGTAGGCCAGGCCGGGCACCCAAGCACCACTGGAGATCCTCATGTGGAGGGGCTGCCCACCTCTGCACCCAGCCAGGGTGCGGACCGGCAGGCCACACGCCTTGAAGGGCTGCCCTCTGCTCCTTCTTGGCGGAGGGACAGCTGTGAGTGAGGCAATGCTCTCCTATTCCACAGAAACGTGCCCCCTCGGGAGGGCCACCAATTAGCCACAAGCACACTGGCTGCCTGCCTTGTTCCAGGCCCCGTGAGTCCGGACCAGGCTCCAGGCGATGAGCCTGAGGACCCTGTGGGCTGCTTTGGGTCCCCACCCCCGCAAACACCACCCCCCACCCCCTTCAGGAGGAGAGGCCAGTGACAGTCGTGCCCTGCAGGGCGGGCGGCCAGCGGGAGTGAGCTCTGCGCAGACCTACTGCGTGTCCGGTAGCTCCCCACAGCTTCTCTGCTGCTCCCTGTCTGATTTCAGCTCAAGTGGGAGGCCTGAGGCTG